TGGGAGATGTTCATATGCAGAACCTTAATGTCCATGGTTGCCAGGATTATATTTTCTGGTAGCCTGCCTAGGAATTATAGTTCAGGAAATCTGTGGTATCTCTAATGTAGCAGTGAGACATATATGGTCTAAGTACCGTATTAAATCCATACACCTAAAAAACCCCACTGTGATGATATCAACTCCTGAGACAATAGGGCAGCCTAGATTTCCTGGTTTGTGGATTTTAGGTAAGAGACAGAAGATATCTGGTTAGGGCTCCTCCCCTGACACATCCTCCTTGCCAACAGTTTTAAACTCCCCTCAGAGGACAGCCACTCCATTTGTCTGAAGAAACATGCTCAGGCACACAAAAGCTTATGAAAAGTAACAACTAGTGAATCTCAAAGGTGCTACAATATTTCTGGTTTCTCTTGTGCTACAACAGAATAACACAGCTACCAGACTGATAAATCAAATAATTGATAAGTCCTTTGAAAATTCCTCAATTTTCAAAGGAAAATTGAGAGTATTGACATGGCTTTAAATTTGAGGACCAGCACCATGTTTTCTGCATATCTGTAGCCATCCAGTGGCTTAGTGCCCAGGTTTGTTTCTTGTAGATCATATATTGCACAGAAATCAGAAGAAGTTTCAAAGACTGAACAGTTGACAGAGGCCGTGGTTCTCACTCAGTGGTGAAGTACTTCAGACCGCAAGGGGAGTTCTCACATGATCTTCATTGCAAAACATTTCTTTTTGCAAAGCAATTAGATTATCAGGGGAAAGGGTGGAATCCTGGTCTTCTCCCTGGCATGCTAATTTTCTACATGGAAGGTTGTTTTGCTTTGTCTTTTTGGAGGACTGTTCAGCAAGCCTTGATTAGCTATGAGCTAACTGGTTGTCTGAGGTTGTACAGTTAAGGTCTATAACTTTAGTGAGAAAAGAACTCTAGCATCTCAGTGGAAAATATACCAGTTTTCCCACAGTATTTTCCTACATTCTTGCTTGTTTGTAGGACAAGAAGCTGACAATGGATGAACCCTGAGGAAGATTAGAACATAATAAGTCTTTTCAAATGGCTTCTCTATTAGATAGCAGGGCCTGAAATACATGACACTGGGCAAGTATAAACAGGATCAGTCCAAGATATTTTGCTGCCTGAGGTGGAGCAAAATAGGGCAACCCTCCCCTAGTACACAAGACTGGCCAAGTTATTTTGGCACCTAAGGCAGAAAATTCCACCGGTTTCTGTCATCAGGAGTGAAAATACTGTAACCATGTTACTCACACAGCTGTTTCTTCCTAATAATAGAACCAGCCCTGATAGGATACTAATCTTTTTAAATTCTGTTGTTTTCATTTTACCATGGATTCTGACATATTTACTGGCATTTGTTACAGCAGTAGTGACAGATTTTGATGCTCTAGAAAACCAAATGCCAAATTCTACCACTGGCAGGAGTGCATTATGCAGCAGTGCACTATGGGGAGATGTAGGAGGGAAGTTTCTTGTTTGTGTGACCCAGGTGTGGAATGCCCTTCCCTTGGAGGCTTAACTGACACTAACATTGCCTTTTTTCTGCACTAAGTTCAAATCTGACTGTTCATCCAAGTATTTGACACACAGTGAGATTACAGATTGATTTCAAAACTTTCAAGTTGCTGCCTCTTGTCTTGTCTGAATTGTTTCAAAGGTGCTATAAATTATTTTTTAAATATTTGAATTTTTAGATTTTAAAAGTTGCTTTTCTTGATTGTACACAGAGAATGTCTTGATAGTAAAACTCTGATTTCTGCACTAAAACATCAATTCCATCAAAATTAGGCATTTAAAATGTTTTAAGTTAGATTTCCCCTCTCCTATTTAGTTCTTCAAAGTTAGATGCCCAAATACAGTAGAAATTTAACAGATTTTCCAAACACATACACAGCCTTTGGTTTGTCCTGCGAACCACAGAAGCAACCTTTCCTACACCTAAATTGCTAAGTATAGAAGCAGCATCCCGTGCCTTCACAAAACCAGCCTGTTGGGTATTGGCTTCCTAACTCTGAAATGATGTTATCAGTTGTGTGATTAGGATGCAAGAGATGCCTAAATGCAGATTATATAGTCCTTGGGCTTCATTTCTGCATCATTTTGATGTATCACCCACCACAAATGAGGAGTCTTTTTAATTTCTTGTGGTCTTTCATCAACCTATCTACCTACATTGGGAAGATATCCTGAAACAACTCTTTCCCGCTTTGTGTTTCTTTGTAAAGCAACAGAGAAGAGGTGGTTCTCACAAGCATGAGGAAGGCCTAGAAAATGGCTATTCACAGAAACATCTCTTTGCCTCTACACACTCTTTGCAAATCCACACATTACAAGCACCAATATATCAGCCTAGTACTAAATGGATCTGATTTCAGGAGCTGTTTAAAATAAACACACTCACAAACCATACGACCAATGGTGTAACCAACATTATGCTGAGACACAAAGAGGGAGAATGTTTCTTCCATTCTGACAGGGAATATGGAGGCACATCTCAGATCTGTTGTGGAGATCTGATGTGGCAAGGATTGATACCAAAAGAATGAAGGATACATAATGGGGTGTCCTCATTCAATGGGGCTCACGAGAGTCCCATATCTTCTTAAAATATGTTTTCCTAATCCTAAACATGTGGGGCTCCAGTACCCTTATTTATCCATCACTGTTGAGACAAAACATCCTGTAGAAGCTTAGATGCTACTTTTCCTCCTTACATATTCACAAGACTGCACCCTGCTAGAAAAGGGACTAGATATTAGCCCACATTAAACTCCCTAACAAGGAGCACTTTCAAGAATTTTATAGAATTAACTAATCTTAGAACCATTGTGTTGGAAATGAACCCAAGGATCATCAAGTCTAACATCCTGCCAATGCAAGAAATCCACAGTTACAACATACCCACTAAAAGGACGTCCAAGCTCTACTGTATTTAAAAACCTCCAACAAAGAAGAGTCCTATCACCCTCCAAGGCCATCCATTCCACTTGTGAACAGCTTTTATCACCACAAAAGTTCTTCTTAACGTTTAGCCAAAATCTGCTTTCTTACAATTTAAATACATTGGTTTTGGTCCTACCCTCTGGAGCCACAAAAAACAAGCTTCCTCTATCTGCCATGTGATAACTTTTCAAATAGATGGTTAAGAAGGTGTGCCAATGGAGAAAAGCATAGTGTGATTGTTGGTAGTTAGTGAGTTGGGGAGAAAGGAAGCAAACAGGCACTCATAGGGATCAGTTCCCCTCTAACATGCACCCTTTAAGAGAGCCAAACTGCAAGGCAATCTGTTATTTCTGCCTTCTAGGTCTACTGGTGATAAGATGGGTTGTGCTGTAAATGTCTAAAGAGACAACCAAGGAGACTTTGGATCTTTGTTAAACATGCTAATAATGTCATTTCTTTCTTTTTATTTATTTATTTTCAAGGCTTGGTGCCAGTGCCACAACAAAGTTGCATGCTTAAGAGACCAAGAGAGAGAGAAATTCCTTATCAGCACTTGTTTGCAGCTTGTTAAAGTAGCTCTGCTATAGCCATGCCTCCCACAAATCTGGATGGCTACAGCAGAGGTTGCCTTAACAAGCTGCAAACAAGTGCTGGTTGCCAATTTATTTTCTTCTGTCTGCTGACTTTTCTCTGGTCAGCTAAAGCAAATTCACTTGAGGAAAACAAACTTCCCAGATGTGAATTCACAGCACATCAATTTGTATGTTTCCCCCTATGTAGTCCCCCTCAATTTCATTATTTGGTGCAGTTCTCCAATTTATTCAGATCAATATGAATCTTGATTGTGTTGTGAAATATTAGCTATTCTTATCAGTGTCATGTCATCTGCAGATCTGATGACTATTGCCTTTACTCTTTCATCCAGCTTATTTACAAAGGTTATTGAATAGCACTGAGTCTAGCTACCTAGGATGGAACCCTATGGCATCCCATTTCTCAGTTCTCTCCAGGATGAAGAATATTGGTGAACATTGTTTACAACCCATCAATCAGCAACAAATTCACCCAAAAGGAGCATTATTTAGCCTGCATTACCAGTTTATCCTCAAGATTACCATGGGATAAAAGAAAACCCAAATTCCCAATATTCCCATGATCTACCAACACTATCACTGTAAAATATATAGTGCAACATAATTTGCTATGAAAAACTCTTACTGGCTCTCAGTAATCAGCACATTGCTTAGAGACCAACAGTTCAATTATCTCTTCTAGAACATTTCCTAGTTTCCATGTCAAATTGACCTGTTGTTTGTTATTTAGATTCTCCCTCACTTGAAAATTGGGATAGCTTTGCTAGTCTCCAATTTTCAGGAGCTTCACCTGTTCTCCAAGAATTCTCAGAGATGATGAACAGAGGTTCTGAGATTAAATCTGTAAATTTCTTTAGCACTCCTGGATGCAGTTTGTCTAGCCAAGATTTATGATTTATTTGTCCACAAAGACTGTTCTGCAAAAAGAACATAAAAATAGTTTGGATCCATCAGGTAATGTCAGTTAATTGTGCCCCAGGAATTCGATGGATGGGCTCATTTCAGAGAGAAGTTGATTTTAAAAAAAAAATCCCCAGGACTCATTTAGAGGAGATTAGTTTAAAACGCAGACAATTTGCAGAAACCGATTTCTTTCATTCTGCCTCTTCTCAGTCCCACCCATCCCCCTCTGCCCAGCCCAAGGCACAGAGAAGGCGCTTTGATCTGGAAGATTGCATTGAGCCACAGAGCATGTCTCTTCGCCTCCAGACCAGGCACCAAAAAGTTTTTAGAAAGAAAAAAAAGTGTTACAGGTCATGGCATCCGCAAGCTGGTTACTCTATTCCCCCCCCCCAACGCCAGCGCTCCGCCTCTCCTTTCCTTCTTAATTCTCTTTTCAGAACACAATCCCCTTTCTCATGCCCCTCCCCTCTTCCGTGTGTGTGTGTGTATGTGTGTGTAGCGCGAGAACGACTTGCAAAGGACTTGTGTTGGGTCTGGAGCTCGCACGGGAGTTTGCATTGATCCATTGATTGCACATGGTCTCTTGCCTGACCTTCTTGCTCCCAGGGAAGCGGTCTCCATGGCTACTGGCCCTACTCCCCCAGTGGCAGACTGTAAATTCCTGCAGGCAGATCTGAGCAGAGCCCGGGCGCGGGTGGGAGGGAGTAAAGAAGGAGCAGGCAAAGGCAAATAGAAAGAAAGAGAGAAAGGGAAAAGGGCGTTGCTTGGAGGGACCTTTCACAGGTCCCCAGTCCTAGACCAAGGCTCCCTCTCGCTCGCTCGCTCCCTCCGTCCCTCCCTCTTACAACAACAAAAAAAAATCTACTGCTCTCTGACAAAATTGGAAGTTGCCGGGAATTCCTTTTAGGAAAAGGTAGCAGCGGAAAGGAGGAAGGTCAGGTCCTCTGAAAAAGATAGTGCGGGTCTGCCTCGTCCCCCCCCTTTTTTTTGTACCATCAGAAAAGAAGGAAACTGACCCTTGAGCAAATTTGGTCATCCCTTCTGTCACACACCGCCACAGAGGGAGGAAAAGAGAGAGAGAGAGAGAGAACCGATCGCGGTGCGTCCGTGTGTGCGTCGTGAAAGTTTGCATGACCCTGGTGCGTTGTTTTGAGACGTTGGAGAAGAGCAGACACATACCCCATCCACCTTCTGCGCACAAGGCGTTTGTAATGGGAGCCCTCGAGATTGTCGGACTGTGGCTGCTCTCCTTTCTTCTCTACTCTGGCAGCACCGTGGCTAAAGCGAGTCAAGGTAAGAGGAAACCTCCTTTTCGTGCCCGTCTTTCTCCCCGCATGTACGACCCATTCCTCCGGTTTTCAACCCTCCCGTCAGCCTGTGAGTTTAGCATGGACCAGCCAAATGCCGAATCTAACTGCTGAATGTTTTTCTCTTGCCATCCTTGCAGCTTTTCCAACTGGTGTTTCTTAGGTAGGCGTTAAAAATTATATTCAGGCCCTCGAAGACTAGGGAGTTAGGTGGGTGGGTATGGAGAAAAGTCCCCTTGTCCAGCCACAAGAAAGAACATCGCTGTCTGTAGTCCCTTCGCCCCTTCATTTATCTGTAGAAGAATAATAACACCTTGAGAAAAATTATTTTGAAAATAGTAATGGGACATACACGTGTGTGATTATCTTGGTTGACTGTGATGCCTATGTACGCATGGCAGTGGGACTTAGAATGTAAACACAACATTGTTTTTTAAACCAAAGAGGCACTTTGTCCCTACGTCTACCTGCAAATCTCTGGGTTATCTTGTAATCACTGCCCATTTGAAAACATGCTTACACGCTCGCGATCTATTTGATAGCTGCACTTTTGTTGTAACAGTAGTAGCAGCTTGTCACTGGAGTTAAAGGACTCGCATGTGTTAGGCATAGGAAGAGTGTGCAGGTTATGTTTTATTAAGTATCAAGTAATATATTTTAACCATGTGGCGTGTATCTTTCCTTTCCTTTCCCTGTATAGCTGGAGGGAATCTCTGTGTTAGAGTGTTTGCTCCTTAAAAGTCTGTTTTTGTATTAAAATGATGGAATATGAGAGTGTTTTCTTTTGTGTTTTTCCTCTTCTTCAGGCTTCATAAAGAGAAGACCTACCTTCATATAAAGATTTTGGATATTAGCTTACACAGGAATGCTTAGGCTTTTCTCCCCCTTCCAATTATCTTGTTGCTTTCATATTCTTATCATAATATTTATCTATTAAGCCCTTTGGTTTCAAATTCCATTGAAGTCCTGGCCAGATATATGCTAAAATAGCAAAGCAAAATTCCATCTTGTAGAGACTTGATGGATACTTTCAGGGAAGGAAGGGGAGGGAGCTCCTGTGGGTACAGGCTAGTTTCTTGGTTAATGAAAATTAGCAGGTAAAATGGCTTCTTCATTTATACATGCTTTCAGTACAAGAGAATAAAAAGGACTTTTAAGAAAAACCCATGATGGTTTACATCAGTTGGACATCCTGGAAATCTTTTAAAATCCTCATTCATGTTAGAAGGATGTCTTGCTTTATTATGATTAATTTTGTTTCTAAATACCTGAAATGATGGTCCATCATAGTGGGTGACTGTGCATTAATTCTGTTGATCAGAATGCTATGGAAGTGATTGTGGAAATACATCTTAAAAGTTGAGGGAGAAGGGTGAGTGATAGCCATACACATTAAAAGTTTGACCTTGAGTTCTTCATTCTTTCTGTTCTGCTGGCAACTGCTAGTGATGAATTAACACTATATGTAGAGTGCCCCATGTACCATAGAACTTTGTTGAGTCTATAGGAACAGTCTTGAGCTTGAGAGACTATAGAGGTAACTGACACATCTCTTCCCAGCCTGGTGGCCTCTAGATGTGTTGGACTACCACTCCCATGTCCCCTGTTGGCATGGTATGTTACATTTGAAAGACCCAGAGTTGGGGAAGAATCAGTAAAAGAATTTCTCACTGAAAATTGTAGAACTATCAAGTTTTATTTCATGTAAACTTTCATGGACTGTAGTGCAGTTCTGAAGATGACTCTGAGGAAATGGGCTAAAGCCCATGGAAGTTTATTCCCAATATTTATTTGTTTACTTAATGGGCAAGTGATCACATAACAATGAATGAATGCTTAAGTTCAGTACAGTACGGTAGGGTAGGGACATTTTGCTATGAGAGCATATTGTTCTACATTCTCAAACCCTTAAAAGCAGGAGATCTCAAAGTAAGTTCTGCCTTCACACTTTGTCCATATTTTAGCAATACAGAGTAGGATACTGCTGGTGGATGCAGAAGTTAGCTGAAGGAACCAGACTGCTTGTTCTTATCACTCTGGAGCCGAACATTGTGACCACTGGATTCTCTCTCAATGAGAGAGAATCCAGTGGTCATCCCCAGAGCCAGCTCCATGGCATCCCATTCCTTTGCTTAAAGGTTTGCATGCTGAAACAGGCTTCTGTGCAAGTATGCACTGCTGAATTACAAACTGGGGATAAATCAAATGTCTATGCGGTGTTTATGTAGTCTGTCTTCAGGGCATTGCTTTCAGCTTAGATATGCATTAAGTGTGTCTCTTCATAAATGCAGTACGAGTAATCTACATGTCTACAACTGATTTAGCTTCTGATAATCTGCATATGAATAGATTAAAGAATTGAGGGGGGTAATAGGATAGAAGGAAGAAAGATTCTTTCCTTTGACTCTTCTACTTCCATCATCATCATCATCATCATCATCATTGGCAGGTCCATATTCATTGGTAGCAAAATTGTGCACATAACGGACAGCCCACTGAAGACGAAAAACTTTGCACTGAAGCCTTGATTCTTACCGGGGTTTTGGCCTTAAATTCTATTGGGATTTTATTCTGGAGTAAATAATATTGTGTTGTCTGAAGTGGCAAATTGTCACAAGGTGCACTTATTATGGATTAAAATCCCAGTAGAATTCTGGCCAATGTTTAATTCAGAGTAAAAAGAGGAGAATGTTAACAAAGAAGGTAGCACCAGAATACACAAGAAAATAATATTAAAACAGTCTTACACCCCCACCCAATGTCAATAAGATCTGCTCTCCGAAAGCATAGGTTAATGTGGCATGTGACCCTTCAACTGCATTTGTAGAGTACTTTTAAAGACCAGAATCTGAATGCCCAAGGCCATATCTGGGCTCAGTTGCCCTCTCTTTCCCATTGTCAGTTTAGAATAAGAAAGAAGTGCATGAAAGGAGTAGAGGTTCTGGACATGAAATCTGACAGCTGCCTGTCTGTTTTAGGGACAGATGACAGAAAATCCATTCTCAGATTGGCCCTCAAAAGAACCTCAGTTGCTCAGGAGGCTTTTAAAGTAATTAACTTCTTACATTTGTATCCTGGCTTTCATGATGGAGCTCAGTGTGGTATACAAGATTACCCCAAATATTCTGCGTTCAGTGACACTATGAGGTAGGCTAGGCTGATTGATGACAATATTTATGTCCAGAACCTTTTGGTGGCCCAAGAACACCCCATGAGCTTCATGGCTTACTCCAAGTCCAACACATACTGCCACACCACACTGCTTTGCTCAACAGCAGTAATGTTGAAAGCATCACAGCTAAATGTTATGGTGTGTGCCTTTGTTTTAACAAATAGTTCCTGTATTTGTACAGTTTGCTGACTTACTTGAAATAATGAACTGCTCTTTGCTGACATTCTTAATAACGTTATGAATCATCCACTGAAAGTTTAGTCTGAAAGAAACAATTTTGTTTCAATCATGCTCAAGAAGCCAAGGGATACAAGAATAGTAAGGTCTCAGCTAAACTAGTTGGGTCATTTTGGGGATGGTAGGCAGAATTAATAACATAAATCCAAATAGTTTGGAATTTATAAACAGACAACAGGAGATGCTAACAAACAAAGAATTATAAGGGTTGAATTGCCAGTACATTCTGTTTCCTTTCATAAACTTGGAGGCCAAGTGCTCAGAAGGCAGGATTTGCTTGGATATGCAAAGAAAGAAGGGCTGCGTAAAGTTAAGGAACTTCCACAACTCATTCTCCAGAAAAACCTGAGTTATGTTTCAGGCTTTGTCACATCCTTTGCATGTGAACTTTGGCAATTTGATTAGATTACACTCAAAGCAAAGCTGTTGCATTGAACTCATCTTAATTTCTCCAGAGTTAAATGGCTTGAAGACTTTGGATTTGACCTTTCTGAGATGAAGCCTCATCTGAAGGTGGGTGCAGCTACAATTCTGCAGAAACATGGGAACCAAGATGCTTTGGCAAAGAGGAAGGGGGAAAAAAAGAAGATAACAATGATGTCTGCTCTTTAACAGCGAAGGCTACCAAATTAGTGTTGCCTTTGTTTGGGAAGTTCCTAACCTTATCTGAAAGTAAAACACCTTTACTGCTTGAGCTAATAATTTCACAGCACTATCCAATGTAGTGGCAGACTTGTGACACTCTTGCTAGCTTTCTGTGATATACAGGTGTTAACTCAGAGGCTTGCAGATTAGACGGGTTTACCCCACCATTTCAGATTATCCATGCTACTCATTGTGTTAACCTGTTATTTGATAATGGCAAATTCAGATAGAAGGAAGCTTGTTTTTTTTTTTAAATCCAAGTGTGGATGTATTAATTCATCATTTATCTCAATAATAAACTGCTTTATAAACCACAGACAAAGCTGTGTACTTGTGAACTAGGTTATCCCCAGGCAGAGTTGAAATAAAGTGTTACAATCCAGGTAGAAGATTCTCTGAGACACTGTCTATAACTCTTATTGTTAAACATATGTATTTTCTCAACTTGCTTAGTATCATGTTTATTTACTAGCTATGGTGTTAGGTTGGTCTATGTGTGTCTGTGCAGAGGGGATAATTGATATCTGCATCCCATTTATTCAGCATTTGTCTCCTTCTTTGAGTTAGCCTGGATCCTGATTTGCTTTTGTGAAAATATGTACGGTTAAGAAAACAGTAACATTCAATTGTGTTTATTTTCTCAGTTAAGAGAAAATCACTTCTTTTCTAAATCTTCCTCACACCAAGAAACCTTGTGTGTTCAGAAATAGCTAATAGTACACTGGATTTACATTTTGACCCCGAATTGAGAAGGAAAATATATTGCTAATTTGTTAAATGCACTGGTTAGTGTATAAATTGCCCTGATGTAGATCCTGTGCCAAATGCAAAATGAGAGTTTAGAAGATCTAAGACAATAGAAAATATGGACAGAGTGAATAACTCGGACATCTGTCAGCTCTCAGTTAATTGTGCAATCCTGTAAATGACTC